GTGCCTGTAATCCCAGCTACTCAGGAGGCTGAGGCAGGAGAATTGCCTGAACCCAGGAGGCAGAGGTTGCGGTGAGCCGAGATCGCGCCATTGCACTCCAGCCTGGGTAACGAGCGAAACTCTGTCAAAAAACAAAAAAACAAAAAAAAAACTCTGCCCTTGCTTTCATCTCCAGCCTTTTGTTCTACCACATGCCCTTTGCTTGGCATACCAACCACTGACCTTAGGTGCTCCCAAACGGACCATTAAACAAAATACTCCGGGCCTTTATATATGCTCTTCTGCCAGGAGTTGCCTCTCAGCCCTGTCCCCCTAACTCCCTACTTTTCCTTCCAGACCTGTCAAATGTCCTTTTTCCTTGGCAACATTTCCTACTGAATTCCTCTTCTCTCATTCAGGGGCTCCTTTGGGCTTCACCTCTATACTCCTGTATATCTGTGCATCCTCTAAAATGACATTTACCACTCATAGAGTAAAATATATTATTTGCATATTCTCTAAAATGACATTTATCACTCATTTCCCCAGACACCATGTATCTCCTCTACTAACCGATCTTCTTGACATGGACATGTTTGTTGGGTAATTATTTCCCCAGTACTGGTTCATTTCCAGAGCATGAGTGTCTATCCACGATCAGTTTCATAGCCTATAGTTTTTTGGTTTGGAGTTCTTTTGGGGGATTTTTTGCTTTGAGACAGGGTCTTGCTCTTTTACCCAGGCTGGCATGCAGTGGTGCAATCATGACTAATTTCATTTTTGTAAAAATGAGGTCTTGCTATATTGCCTAGCCTGCTCTCAAATTCCTGGGCTCAAGCAATCTTTCTGCCTCAGTCTCCCAAAGTGCTGGGATAACAGACGTGAGCCACCATGCCCAACCTGGCCTATGGTTATTAATAGGTTGGAAAAAATCTCTAGTGAAGAGATAGCATGTAATAGAGGGGATTAGGTGGTCCCAGGCAATTACTTCTAGGTAAATTGTTTGAACAAGTCCAACATCCTATGTCTCTTCTTTCCTCGTTGCCTGCCTTCTCAATCTGTACCACATCAGAGAAATTACAAGTGGCGGCTCCACAGGTTTCTTTAATTGACGGAACTGTCTCCGTATGCAGTCCACCCGTGCCCTCTGGTGGCCACAATATGATACCACATTCCACTTTAAAGATAAATCTGGCTTTAGGTAGCATGAACAGCAGTTTAATAGGTCCACAACCTTGGAATTAAATTATCTGAGTCTATTGTGGTTTTATATTATGATTGACTAAAAATATTAAATAGTAAGCCATGCTTGAAATATAATAGACAATAAATCTTAGCTTACTTGCTTTTGAATCAGAGCCCTTATGAGTAATGGCACAGAAAACTCCTTGAATTTTAATCTATTGATTAGGCTGGTGGCCCTCAAACACTGAACTCCAAGATGTGTTAGTGGAAGAAAGGGCTGATAAGGCAGGTCCCTGACTCTAGATGGTACTCATTACGTTCCAAATAGGGACAGAATGACAATAGAGCGCATTTATAGAACACGTAGTCTGTGCCAGGTATACCTTTTTATCCTCATGACAACACAATTGAGGGAGGTGCCTAGGCCTAGTATGTTGGCCTACAGAGAGGATTAGTCAACTGGAGCAGAAGTGGGGTTGCCTCTCAAGTGAGGTTGGAATGACCGAAGAGGCAGGGAGAAGCCACAGAAAGCCTGACAAGGGATAATATCAGCCTCTTTTAGCTTAACAAAGTACCAAAATGACTGGTGTCCAATAGAATCAAAGTTTTAGCCTGTGTAAACTAAACTGCAAAAGTTTTCTTTTTTTGGATGATTTCCATCTCCCAGGATCTAAATCATGATATATTAAATAAATCAAGAATGTTACATTTGTTTTTATTTTATTTATTTATTTTGCGATGGAGTTTGACTTTGTCACCTAGGCCAGAGTGCAGTGGCAACCTCTATGTCTCGGGTTCAAGTGATTCTCCTGCCTCAGCCTTCCAAGTAGCTAGCATTACAGGCATCCACCACCATACCCGGCTAATTTTTGTATTTTTAGTAGAGACGGAGTTTCACCATGTTGGCCAGACTGGTCTCAAACTCCTGACAGGTGATCTGCCCACCTCAGCCTCCCGAAGGTCTGGGATTACAGGTGTGAGCCACTGCACCCAGCCAGGAATGTTAAATTTGCTTTTTAAAGAAAGCAAGTTTAAGCACATATTTACTGAACATCTACCGTATGCAAAGCACTTAGACAAACTCTTTCATACTAAACTCCTGGGTGTATAAATGGAAGCCAAAAGAGATCCTGCAATGACTTTTTGGTGGAGGGACATGGCTTCAACTATATATCATATATACTTCATATACTTATCAAATTATATTCTATATAATTCATTATCAAAGAAGAGAGATTATAACCTGGATTGGAATTATGTTTGAGGCAACTATATTCATAGAAAAATTTTGTAAACCCTTTTAAAAGGAGTAAAACCTTATCTTATCTCCAAGCCATTTCTAGAATTAAAGCTTAATAAAGCTTTAAAAATAAGGTGACTTTGACACATCATATGTGTCTATCAATTTATTCACAAATGTGCCTGTGATGTGTCCAGCACCGTCCTAGGCACCATTAAGATTATAAAGGTTAACTGATTCCTGCGTTCATGGAGCTTACATTCTAAAGAGCCAGAGAACATCTAGAAAACACCTGTTTGAGTGGTAGAGACAAGAAGTTTGGAGGGGATGAGGGGAAAACAGGTGGAGTAGTTGCTGGAGTCTCCAAGAAAGCCTAGAAGGAAGAGGATTCCAGTTAGTTCTTAAAGAACGTGTAAGGCCTAGGTTAGGAGAGAGCAGGGTGAGGCATCTGGGCAAGGCACACAGGCAGAAGTCGGTAGGCAGTGAAAGAAGACAATGGCCTCTTCAGGGAGCATTATCTACATGGAATTGTGCCGAGCTAACAAGGTGGGAATGCAGGCTGTAGTCAACTATAGAGGATACTAAAACTCAGCTAACTAGTTTTTTGGAGGCATTTGAAAGCCACTGCAGACACTTGGGCAGGGGAAATGGTGTGATGCCAACAGATCAAACAGTATGTGCAGAAAGGACTGCGGGGGAAAGGTGAGGGAAGGAATTAGATACTATGGCAGTAATCTTGACACAAGAGGATGATGAGAACAATTAAAAAGCTGACAAAGAGATATAACCACAGGACTTAGCCTGAAGAGTTTTCCTCTCCCACGTTAAGAATTTTAAATATGTACAGTACTTTTAATTCAGATGATCATATTAGTTTGTTAAAAGAAAAAAATATCCAAAATAAGCTATAAAAGGATCTACTTAAGGCCGGGCACAGTGGTTCATGCCTGTAATCCCAGCATTTTGGGAGGCCGAGGCGGGCAGATCAAGAGATCAGGAGTTCGAGACCAGCCTGGCCAACATGGTGAAACCCCGTCTTTACTAAAAATACAAAATTAGCCGGGCATGGTGGCGCGTGCATGTAATCCCAGCTACTCAGGAGGCTGAGGCAGGAGAATCGCTTGAAACCGGAAGGTGGAGGTTGCCCTGAGCCGAGATCATGCCTGGGTGAAAGAGCAAACCTCGGTCTCAAAAAAAAGAATCTAAACATCTGCTGTTTTTCAATGATTGTTGTTTTGTTAATGTGAAAGCAATACTTTCTATGATTAATCTGCTATATCTGTTTTGACTAAATTACTACAAAAAGAAAAATCAATGAATTCCTATGGGTTTCTGAAATATCCAAAAATTTAACCTGAAGTGGCAGGGGGTGGGGGGGATGACATCACATCATTAGCAGGTATTGTGTGAAACTTCTAAAAACTGAAACTGACATGTATCTGACTTACTACGAATAAATACTCTAATAAACTCTCTAGTGAAACTTCCTCTCACCCTTTCTGGAAAGTGAGAGGCATGCTGGGCTGCCTGTTCTCCCCCATGATTCTGATTAACAGGATTCTCTGTTATTATAACCTCCTTCCCAGATTGTATCCACGTCACATTTTTTTTTTTTTTTTTTTTTTTTGGAGATGAGGTCTCACTGTATTGGCCAGGCTGGCCTCAAACTCCTTGCCTCAAGTGATACTCCCAAAGTGCTAGGATTACAGGCATGAGCCACCATGCCCAGCCTATGTCTTTAATGCACTGTATTTCCTTGTACTCCAGCTCCCTAGTAGTGAAATGCCTATTAAAACATTAAGGCCAGCATGGCAGTGTGCATCAGTAGTCCTATCTATTTGGGAGGATGGCTTGAGGCCAGGAATTAGAGACAGTAGTGTTCTATAATCATGCCTGTGAATAGCCACTGCATTTCAGCCTGGGCAATATTACAAGACCCTATCTCTTAAATTAAAAAGAAAAAAAAGTCTTGTAGTGCTTCTGGTATATCGGCAGAAAGGAGAAAGAGTTCTAGAGTAAGAACAGTTGATTCTTTTTTCTTTTATAAACAATTAGTAATGGGGGAGTGTTCAGATGGCCAGCTAAAGAGAGAAGTTCTAGAACTCAGCTAGACCAGCATATTGCTTTATTTAAATTGGCTCAATATCCTATTTAAAGCTGGACCAGTGGTTTTCAAAGCATGCAGCCTGGACTGCATCCGCTGAGAATACATTAGAAATGCAAATCTTTGGGTCCCACTTGAGGTCTACTGTATCAAACTCTGGGGGTGGGCCTAGCAGCATTGGGCTTTAACAAGCCTTCCAAGTGATTCTGTTGTGAGCTGAATTTTGGAAGCCCCCGAGACAGACGTACGGGAAAGAAGCTAGACTCAGGCCCATAGTGTACTTGATTTTCCTGTGATTGGTTCGGTTTCCAAACTTGTCTGCACATAGGAATCACCTGGAGAGCTACAAAAGTACCACTGCCTGTGACCAATCACCAGAGACTGTGACTTAATTGGCCTGGTGTATGGCCTGAGCTTTGGAATTTTTAAAGGATTCTCAAGTGATCCTAATGTGCAGACAAGTTTGGAAACCCTTGGATAAATCAAAAAACATCTTGAATCAAGGACCAGAGACAGGAAAAAATAGAAAAGAAAAAGGAAATAAAAGACAACACACGTCAAATTCCATTTCCAAATCCCATTCAAGGAAGTTTCCTGGCTATTTCAGAGTACTGGAATATTGTCATAATAATATGGCTTTAAATTGGTTCAACAGCCTATAAAGAAAACTTTATTCTTGTAAACTGTATCTTCTGAAATAAATTCCTGCATTATTTTGTTTGGAGGAAATCTGTAATTTTGGAATCAAAAAGGGTTTGTGTCACTCTTTCCATTAAATATGCATCTATGCCATTTAATTGTCCAAAAATGGCATCAGGAACACCTACACAAGAGGAAAGGAACTAAGTTTCTGTACACTTGATATGGCTTCTGTGATGGTGACTCTTGGTTGCTCTGGTAAAGATACTTCCCCTTCATCTTCACTTCCTGCTTCCCTGGTATTTTCACCAGCCACCGTGCCCTGGATGCTCTGTGTCCTGGGAGATAATGAGATCATCATCTGCAGTAACAAAGCCCTGGAAATTTACTTCATTTGGGACACGGGTGGCAATAGCCACTGTGTGCCACAACTTTTCAATGGCAATGTCTGGTTCACTGGCTGCTGATTCTGTGTCATATTCTGCAAATTCCATTGGGATGATGCCTGCCTTCTGCCAACATTTCCCCACTGTGGATGGTGTGACTGACCACGCTGCAGCAATCATGTCAATGACCTGCTTGATGTCCACCTTTTCTTGCCTCTCACTGCTGCTGAGCTTGAGGAGGATCTGTTTTAGAAGGTGGCTCCCGTACAGAACTTTCATGGTGTGAATTGTGCCAAGATTCAGTGGCTGCAGGACAGCAGTACAGTTTGAGGGCAGATATCCAACCTGAATCCTTTCCAAGCGTGGAAGCATGTTATGAGCAGAGCAGTTGTCGATGAGCAAGAGGACCCGGCATTCCGCCCTCTTCATCCTGGCATCCACTTGCATCACTCACTCATTAAACAGATCTCTTGTCATCCAAGCCCACTAGTTGGCTTGGTAATCGCAAGGGAGGGAATGGATGTTCTCGAGGCAGCGTGGGCTGGCTGGCCTACCAACAATCAATGGTCTCCTTTTTTCAGTCCCCGAGGCATTGCAACAAAAGAGTGCTGTCAACTACTGCTTTGCTTTCTTGCCCCCTCTACAATGGTCTCCTTCAGCAGCAAGCGTGTGCTGGGGCAGCAGCTGGAAAAACACTCCTGTCTCATCAGCATTAAAGATATCATCTGGGTTGTAGTCGGCAATCAGTTTTATAATTTCCCCTGCATACCACTCATTAACCTTATCTATTCCTAGACCATTCATTAACCTGTCACTATCTTCCGTATAGCTTGCTTTCAAAGCAATTCCATGGCGATCTCTAAATCTGTTCAGCCAGCGTACATTTGCTTGAAAACTGTCATAGCCAAGCAATGTTGGCCAAGTTTGGTGCTTTTTTCTAAATGATAGAACCAGTCACAAGAATGTTTTTGGCATGGATTTCTTGAAACCAAGCAAAAACAGCCTTATCAATGTCATCATAAAGAGCATTCCTCATCCTTTTCCGCTGGGGTCCCACGGATGCCTCCCACACCTTTTCTTCAAATTTGGTGCGATCCTTTAAGAATGTAGACAGTAGAGAGAGTGATACCAAATTCTTTTGCCACTGTCACCTTTCCTCAGTTTCCTGAGTCTACAGCTTCCACAACTTTGATTTTCTCCTCCAGAGAGAACTGCCGACGCTTCTTGTTCCCCTTGTTTGCCATTTCCAGGGAATGAGGCCTGGCCACAACTAACAGGGCTGTCTGGTTCCCTCCTCGAAGCTTGCTTTGCCCCATCTGTGGAAAACAGAGAAGACAAAATGGAGTACCTATCAGGAAACAAAGATAATGGATTTCCTCTAAAAGATGGTTCAGGTTTTTACAAACTGTATTAGGAAATGACAATTTATGGTCAAAGTCAAGAGAATATAGGATCCATGCTACTGACTTTTTGTAGAGGCTACTTATAAAGACTCCTAGAATGTTTGAAACAGAAGAGATATTATCTAGTTTACTTAAACTTTCTGAGCCTCCATTAATATGGGAATAACAATGTTTGCTCTGCCTATCATGAAAATAGACTGAAATAAGAGGCTGTGAAAAAAGCTTTGGAAATAGCATTGCACTGTATACTTCAGAGTTATTATCCAGCTTCTTTGATGAACACAGAAACTAAGGCCCTGGGAAGGGGCCTAGTCAGGTTCATGCAGCTTAGATTTCTTAACTCAGATTTCTACTTATTATACAAAGGGTGGTCAGGGGTGTCCTCACTAAGATGGCATTGAAGCTGAGATCTCCAAGAGTATAGGGAAAGGGCTGTACCAGCAAAAGACATAGCATTAGCAAAACCTCAAAAGCAAGAATAGCTTGAGGTATTCAGGGAACTGAAATATTTGCATGACTCCAAGTATATGACAAAGATAGGGGGCCAGACCATTCAAAGATGCCATGGTAAAGAGTTGGTATTTTGAGTGGAATAGACATCCACTGATGTTTTCAGGTATTTTAAAAGGATGGCTTTGGCTGTTTTGTGAAAAGTGGATCAAAGAGGCAAAGAGACCAATTAGGATATTAGGATGATGTTGCTGATAATCTGGGTGACAGATTATGGCAGAACTGATGGGCAGGTTATGGTACAGTCCCTCTTGCAATGGCATAATCTCAGCTCACTGCAACCTGCATCTCCTGGGTTCAAGCGATTCTCCTGCCTCAGCCTCCCAAGTAGCGAGTAGCTGGGATTATAGGCATGTGACACCCCACTCTGCTAATTTTGTATTTTTAGTAGAGACAAGGTTTCTCCATGTTGGTCAGGCTGGTCTTGAACTCCTGACCTCAGGTGATCTGCACACCTTGGCCTCCCAAAGTGCTGGGATTACAGGTATGGGCCACTGCACCCAGCCCCTGTTTTCTTATATTAAAATGAAGAGGTTGGACTCAAGCAGGAAGGCTTATCACTGATCTGATATCCAGGCCTGACCTAGGAACTAATGAATCAGAATCTAGGAGGAAATACATATTTTTGAAAAGCTCTCAGAGTGATTCTGATCTGTCCCATGGTTGCAAACCACAAGACCAGATGATGCCTAAGGGTCCTTTCAGATTTAAGTCTTGGATCCTAGGTAGGTTCTCCAAACTCAAATGCCTTTAGGGACCAGGATGATGGCATAAGTGATTAAAACAGGGATTAAAGTATTTGGAGAATGTGGTAGTGTATCCTGTCTAGAAGTATTCAGAATTTAAATTAAGCAGCCCCCCGGCCCCAGGCTGGTCCAACAAAACATGACCCAGCAGTAGCAGTTCTGGGTAATTGCCTTAGTAGGCATTTTATCATGAGAATCCTCAAAGGACAAGAGAATCTGCTGGGACTTTACACTATGACTGTCCCTTCTCAAGGGTAGATTTTTACTATCATCTCCATACATATATCCATCAATTCATGGCATGTGCTATGTGTTAAGGAGTATGCTTGATGCCAGCCATACAGAGATGAATGCAGCATAGTGCCCAGCTTTGAGGAGCCTTCCAGGGAAGCAGGGAAGACACTAGAGTATGTGAAAACTATAATAGAGGTTACAGAGTACTATTGTGATATAGCTGGCCTAGAGTTAGAACCTGAGCAATGCCATTTTATACAAGACAAAGCTATTTTCCAAAAATAAGTTGTAATGGCTGCCCCATTCTCCTCGAAATAACTACTGACCTTGGCTTCTGTAAAATGCCCACTATGTAAAGTTGCTTGCCTTGGCTTATCAGTAACTGCCAGAAGTGCTTGCCTTTGCTGATCAGTAAGTGCTAAAAAAGTTGCTTGCCCTGCATCCCCTCACCCTCTCGGTCCTAAATCCAGCATGTGGTTTTTCAGCTTAAAAACCCCCGCTCCCCCTGAACTCGGGGCCACAGGTTGGAGAGATGTGAGTCCTCCGTGGCCGCCGGCAATAAAGACCCTGCAATTTGGTATACTTCTGTCTTGGCGTTAACTTTCTATGCTCGGTCCAGTATAACACTATTGGAACATAAAAGTGCAGATAATCAGCTAGAGTGGGGCATCGATGGGCAGTGCACTTCAAAAAGGGAACAATACGGTGGGTCTTAAAGAATAAACAAGTAGGAACTCATGAGATGAAATATTTAATATGAAAGGCAATGAAATACTACAGAAAATAGAATGTCCTGTTCAGGAACAAGGAAGTCTTTGGAGAAGAAAGCAAGGACCAAATCACAGGAAGTCCTAGTTAGGATTCTAGCTTGCTTTGGGGGCATTAAGAGACTTTTGATGGTTTTTTAGTTTTGTTTTTTTGGAATGACATGATCAGATTTACAATTTAGAGTCATTTGGTTGCATGCAGGGCAGAGAACCTAATGGGTAAAGTTGATTTTCCTAAGAGATGGCCCTAAATCTAAAAAGCAGGGTAGCCCAGCAGGCCATATACAGTTTGGACGTGAATTTGAGTGCAATAGGAAGCTACTGAAGGATTTTAAGCAAGAGAGATGACTGCTGTGTAAAGAATAGAAGGGTTTCAGAGAAAAAAGCAGGAGTCCACACAAGATAACGGTGGCTTGGATTAGAGTAGCAGTAATAGAGATGGTGAGAAGTAGTCAGTTTGAGGCTGTTTTTGCAAGCCTTGTGATTGACTGGATGTGAGGTGAAGGTGGAGTCAAGGATAAAACCCAGGTTTCTGGTTTGAGCACTGAGCAATCCAGCGGATGGTGCTACCATTTACTGAGGTGGGAGGATCTGCTGCGTAAACCTAATTTGTCAAGCACTTTACATGCTTAATACTGCTTACTGGTGGCAGGGGTGGGATTCAAACCCTGGGAGGCTCACCACAAAGCTAGCACTCCAAACACTACAGAGTGCTATGTAGCTGGTTCTGGGAACTACTAATACTGAAAGGAGACATAAAGAATGAAGCAAGAGCCAAATCAAAGTCTTGGTCAAGCTAAGACGTCTGCATTTTATTTTAAATGAATGAGACATTGGAGGGTTTTAAGTAGGGAGTGACTTGGTCAGACTTACAGTGCAAAACGATCACTGACTGCTTCGTGGAGAACAGATAGTAGAGGGGACGTGGGGAGAACTACATCAGTCCAGGCTGGAGATGACGGTGGCTAGAAGGTTGGTGAAGGTGGTAGATGGAGAAAGGTAGGCAGACTGGACACACATTTGCAGTAACAGTGAGAGCTGTGCGGGAACTTGTACAAATGTGGACAACCTGTGACACTGGAGAGAAAGGACAATCCAATCCTATTTGATTTCTCTCCACACGGTCATTCAGCTCAGCTTGAGTCACTCCAGGAACTCAGCTCCCATCACACTATCCGTGGGCCGGTGAGAGAGACGGATTGAGGGTAGATCGCTGGAGTGACGAAGGCACTACTCGATGCGGCACTACGTATGAAACCCATCCTGAATGAGAGCGAAGGACTCAGACAAGCTGAGATCAGGCCTTGAACGCCGTGCTGAGTGGGTGGTAATGTAGGTTTCCCAGCGCCAGACGAGGCTCTGAGAGGTGAGGCGGGGCCTAGATTCCCTCAAGCTCGGCACAGACCCGCCCCTGTTACCTGAACGCCCCACAGCAGTAACCGGGCGCTGAGTGGCCCGCGTGCCACACCGCCGGCAGCCACAGCTTCCTCCTCCACCCGTGACCTCTGGCCGGAAGCTGTCCGTTCCCCTTAACAGACCCCCTCCAAACCTTTAAGCAGTGCGTATGGGTCCGCCCCCCAGCTGGGGCTTGGCTGTTGCGCATGCGCGAGGGGTCGCACGCAGTCACGCGCACCGGCCGTTTCCGGTGCGCCGCGAGGGTCGCCGGGACGGATCTCCCTGGCGATTCGTGGTGTGCTGCTGCCGCCGCTGCAGCCGCTAAACCGGTGCCGCGGTGACGTCCGTGTCCCTGCTGTCTTCCTCGAGCTCCCCGGGGCTTGATCCCCGGGGCCCTCGGCAGGCATCAGTGAGGAGCCTGCGGAGCGAACCTGTGCTCCTGCACTTGCCCTTCACGATCCCATATCGCGACTCCGAGGAGGGGAAGCGAGAGGAGCTGTCGCGACTCCGCGCCGTGTGTCGCCGGGCGGGGCCGCGGGGCCGGGGCTCCTCCAGCCCCCGGGATGCGCGCGCGAGCCCTCGCCTCCACTTCCTTGTTGCTGCTGTCACGACTGGAGCCGCCTCTCGCCGACAGCGGGGAGCGCGAGTGCGCCAGCCATCCCCCTCGTCGAGACCCTGGGCCGAGCGCCTCCGGGAATGTGAGCGGCGCGGCTTGCACGCTCCTCCGGGTAAGTCCCGCCTTCAAGGGCCGTGCTGGGCCGCTGGGCGACCTCGAGTTAGGTGCTGCGGCTCTCTGAGCCTCTATTGACTCTCCCACAAAGTAGAACCAGTGAACCTTAGTGTCTTCCCGCAATCCGAATGAGACATTCGGACGTCCCAGACGTCTTAGCTTGAGCAAGACTTTGGTTTGGCTCTTGCTTCATTCATAACCCAGAATGAGGGAGAGGAGCTAACCCAGAGTCAAACTGTGGCCCGTGGCTGAGCCCTCAAAGGACATCTCGTGAGATTCCGAGGAGGATCCGATGGGACAGTGAAAGTGTCTCGCATATTTCAAGTACTGACCTTAACTTAATTTTACAGATGATTACAGAGAGTTAGGGTAAGTAGATTGCTTAAGGTCACAGGGCTCCGTGCTGGTGCGATTAAACTGTGTAGCTTATACCAGAACCCAGATCTTTTGTCCTCCAGAGCCCTTGGTTTTTAACCTTTATATTTATTGTCCTGCTTTTTTTTTTTTTTTTTCTTTGCATTGCTATACTGAGGCCTCGAGTCTGTAAACAAACTTGGACCCAGGCTTAGAACAGGGTGGTAAAACAAACAAAACCCTAGGGTAGTCTCCTGCGCTCAGCCCAAGGTGGTTGTAATGACTGTTTCCTAACTCGTTTTGCTCTGGGTGCTTAGTACCCTAGATGCCATTCTTTACAGATGCTTTCCTGCAGTTACTGCCCTTCTCCACAAGGCTTTCAACCGTCCAGAAGTCAATTAAGGGCAAAAAAGCGCAGTTCTCAGGTAGCCTTGATTTGAAATCCTGCTTCCCTTATCCTTTACTGGCCTATTGCTTACCCAGCCAAGTTGTAGACTACCGTATGTTCTCTTCCTAGGTTGCACTAAGACAGTTAGAATGTGGATTTTGTTTTTCTTTGTTAGTTTAGTTTTTAATGGGAAGAGGAATCATTTAGAGATGACAGAGAACTAGGAAGAATGGGAAGAGGAATCATTTAGGGATAACAGAAAACTAGGAAGAACCTTAGGAATCATGTTTAACCTGGGGCATATCTTTAAAATTATAGGTGAAATACGGTGTGTTTGCACTTTCTAGGAGAGGGTTTTTTTTTTTTTTTTTTTTAACCTTTCACAACATTGTCAAAAGAATTCTTGCCTCCAAAAAGATTAGGAGCCACTAGGTTTATCCTCTTCTCACAGCAGAAACAGTTGAAATTTAGGATGTGGAATAGGCTTGAGATCATATGGTTAGAGTTTAGGTCTCTTGACTCCACATGCAGTGCTCGCTATACCTTATGATTTGTGAAGTCTAAATGAGATGTGAGTGGGCTTTGTACTACACAAAGCAGTCCCATATTTACTACCAAAACTGCCTCTTCCCAGAATTCTAAATTTCCTCCTGACAGATTTTTCAGGGACAACTGTGTTATTTCCCTCTTATAAAATTCAAGTGGTTTCTGGGAGCCTTTCTCCCTCCAGGGATTGAGACTTGCGGTAAAACTCCAATTTAGAACTTGGCTACAAGTAAACTAACTGTTCTTGAACTAATTCTTATGTTGTTTTTATGCCTCTTTTCCTAGACATAAAAGCTGTTAGTAGATTCCCTGTTTTTTAGGTCAGCACAAGAGAGCTGATGTTGGTTGGTCAGATGATTGTTTAGGTCTTCCCTGTCTCTAGCTCCTGGCATATGTTGCTATTTAAATTAATTACGATTGGCCAGGTGTGGTGGTGGCTCACTCCTGGAATCGCAGCACTTTGGGAGGTCAAGGCAGGAGGGTTGCTTCAGCCTAGCAGTTTGAGACCAGCTTGGATAATATAGTGAGACCTCGTCTCTACAAAAAATTTAAAAATCAGCCAGATGTGTGTAATTTAAAAATTAGTGCACGTGTGTAGTCCCAGCTACTTGGGAGGCCAAGGTGGAAAGATCACTTGAGCTTGGGAGGTGGAGACTACAGTGAGCCAAGATCACACACCATTGCACTTCAGCCAGGAGAGAGAGTGAGACCTTGTCTTAAAAGTAAATACATTTAAAATTAAAACGAATTCTTCAGTCACACTAGCCATATTTCAAGTGCTCGGTAGCTATATGTGGCTGGTGGCTACCATATTTGACAGCACAGATGTAGAACATAACATTTCCATCATCAGAGTTTATTGAACAGTGCTGGTTTGGAGGGTTGCCAGTAGAGATGGGTAGCAGCATAGCATAATGAAAGAAGGCCCAGGGAGTTGGATTTTTGAATTGAAAATCTATCAAGTCCCTGTTTGGGATTGATGGCCTTGGGCAGGTTGTTAAGCATCTCAGACACAGATGATAATCTTTAACAGAAGCCAGATGTGGTGGCTTACGCTTGTAATTGCAACACTTTGGGAGGCTGACGTGAGAGGATCACTTGAGCCCAGGAGTTCAAAACCAGCCTGGACAACATAGTGAGATCTCATCTCTGTTATTATTTTTAAATTATATAAAATTAAAAAAAAACTCTTAATAGAAAATGAACTCTTTCATTTTTTTTCCTACCAATTATCTGACTTTAGGAATGAACCCAGCTGGGTGCAGTGGTTCACACCTGGGATTCCAGCACTTTGGGAGGCCAAGGTGGGCACATCGCTTGAGTCCAGGATTTTGAGACCAGCCTGGCCAACATGCCAAAACCCCATCCCTCCAAACAAATACAGAAAATTACCCAGGCCTGGTGACACGCACCTGTAGTCCCAGCTACTCAGGAGGCTGTGGTGGAAGGATTGCTTGAGCCCAGGAGGTTGAGGCTGTAGTGAACTGAGGGTGTGTCACTGTACTCCAGTGACAGAATGAGACCCTGTCTCAAAACAAAACAAAACAAAACAAAACTCTTTTCATTTGTATAGCAATTGACTATTTTCTTTTTCGTTTTTTTAAAGATTTTTTTTTTTTTTTTTAATAGAGATGGGGTCTCGCTATGTTGACCAGGCTGGCCTCAAACAGTACTCCTATCTCAGCCTCACAAAATGCTGGGATTACAGGCATGAGCCACTGCACCCAGCCAACTATTTTTAAATAGAGTTGTGTCTATTGTATCCTTTGAGTCCTATCACTATAAATCTGTGGGAAGGTAGGTGAGACATCTCTTTTTTTATACATGAGAGGGAGAGAGCTGAACAAAAAACAGCTAAAACACCTGCCCAAAATTGCACAAGCTGGCAGAGTGTAAAGAAATCATATAGGCCCTTACTACATGTTTGAGTGAATCAATATAAAGACATTTGCTTAAGTTGATGAAGCATAGGAGGAATGGGCCAGAACGTCTGGTTCCTGGCCAAGCATTCCTTTTACCTGTTTCCATATGGAATTGTTATAATTTGAGGCTAATAAGTCTTTGTGTTAAAGGGATGGGTGGGTACTGTATCCCATGAATATAAGTGAAAAGCCTTTCTAACCCAGTAGTCACACATTTGCCCGCTCTAAGGAATCACCTGAGGCATTTGTTAACCATATGGATTTCCATACCCTCTGGAGATTGTGATTCAGAAGGGCTGTAGTGGAGCTCTGGAATCTATGTTTAACAACCAACCCAGGTGCTTCTTGGGATATACTGAGTTTGGGAAATGTTTAAGCCTTAAGGCACTGGCAGAGGTATGGGATTATTTGATTAGGAAGCCGCTGCCCCACTTAGGGTAGATTCTGGAAACTTTATTTTTGACTTTCCTTTCCTCTAGCCATGGACGCATCATATGATGGTACTGAGGTAACTGTCGTGATGGAGGAAATTGAGGAAGCCTATTGTTACACCTCTCCTGGGCCACCCAAGAAGAAGAAAAAGTATAAAATACATGGAGAAAAGGCCAAGAAACCCAGGTTAGCCAACACATTTTGGTTGCTGTTGGTATTTATAAATGGAAGTTGCTTGGAGAGCTGCATTGAGGAAAACTGTAAGATTCTTTGAGAAAGAGTGTTATTATTGAAGTCTTGCAGTGAGCAATGGGTAGTGGGAAGTGATGGGATTTCTGCCAGCATTGCCATTACTGGCTAGACTTTGCTTTTGTTTCCAGGTTGTCACAGGAAGTTGTACCATACTGATGGTAGAAGCTAGGTACAAAAGAGCTACATTATTTATTATGCCATTGTTGTTATGTGAACATTTAAAACAAGGCATTAATTACAAAATAGAAATAAAGCCAGGCGCAATGGCTCATGCCTGTAATCCCAGCACTTTGGGAGGCCAAGATGGGTGGATCACCTGAGGTCAGGAGTTCGAGACCAGCCTGACCAACATGGTGAAATCCTTTTGCTACTAAAAATACAAAAATTAGTCGGGTGTGGTGGTGAGCACCTGTAATCCTGGCTACTGGGGAGGCTGAGGGAGGAGAATTGCTTGAACTCCAGAGGCGGAGGTTGTAGTGAACCGAGATCATGGCACTGCACTCCAGCCTGGGCGACAGAGCAAGACTCTGTTTCAGAA